TCAAGTAAATCTATATATATATGAAAATATTGAAAATTGAAAGTTTGCATAATGTGTCGTAAGATACACTATTTTTTAAATTCAAAATCTTTTTTTCTTTCATGTTCCTACTTCTCGACATCAAGATGATCAATTAGAGGGTTTTTCAACATTAAAACATTTTCCTATGGCTTTTTGATGTGCATATTTGGTTCTACATTTTAAGATTGCAACCTTCTATAAACTTTTTATATATATATAAACGAGATTTTAGGAAAAACAGGGCTGCGAGATTTCAGGCAAAACAGGGCTGGCACCCATACCTTCCCAAAATCGATTCAGTCCCGACCAATTCCCATAGTTTTTTTTTTTAACATAATCGCACCAAATAATACCTAAATTCCATTAATTCGAAAAGCCATCAAAGAATAATCAAACTCAAATGCATGTGAACCAAGTCGTTTCAATAAGGGACATCAGGGAGACGTCTAATGAGGAACCAAATCGTTTCAATATCTAAACCGCCCAGAGAGAGAGGGGGAAGATGTCCAATATGCTTTGTGTGCGGATGTGCGAGAGAGAGTCCAATGTGTGATAAAAAAAAAATCACACAATAATGTACACAATTAGTATAAAAAATCATAAAAATCGCCTTCTCCCTCATTTCTTCAGCATAACTAACAGAATGAGTTGTAACATACCAAAACTTGTATAAATAATCAAATGTCAATATTAATATCAATAAACACCTAGCTAAGAAATGGCATCTCAATTTTCACATATATTTACAAAATAATGAAAGCGCATAATGCAATATCCCCCTTCTAATTAGAACTCAAAAAACCAATATTTTAAGGGATTTTTAGTAATTTTTTGAATCTATCTTACGGCCAAATCTAGCTGATCTGGCCAATTCCCCAATCTAGAATGCTGATCTACTGATCCAACCCAGTTATACAGATGGGGTCGCCAATCCATTTTTTAAAACGTTAATAATAATAATAAAACTACTTCAAATGCATATATAAAATTTACTTATTTTATTTTATTTTTTTGGGTAATTCAGTGGGGAAGACATAGGCCATTACTCGTTTTCTTTCAGATAGATTCGGGAGTCAGCTTTTTTGAAAGTGAAGGTGTTCGACACGATCCAGCTCCTTTCCTATATATACTTCTATTGATGGTTAAACTTCACACACTGCTCACACTGTAGTCAGGCATATATGGGGAACACATGGTTATAAACCATCATATCTCATCATCGAGTGAAAAGCTGGAAAGTATGCCAAAGCAAGATATAAAACAGGATTGGCATCCTTAAAAGGGAAACAAATGAGTTCCTCATACAAGTTACTCCCATAAAAATGCACCCATTTTTACCTGTATAAATCATAGATAGTAGTTCCCATTTTTTACAAAGGAATCACTTCCCCTGTGGGTAAGGGAAACAAGAAGACTGTCATGATGAGGAGTTGTCATTCGAAGGCAACGCCATAACGACCTGAGTCACCTGACTATCGCCCTTTATGTCGGTTCCGTTGGCTTCATTCTAAACAATAACAGAGAATGAGAAATTAGAAAAGTGAAAAAGAAACCACATAAATGAATGTGAAATGTTGCAAAAATATGGGTCACGTACACCATACCTGCTCGCCTGAGTTTGTAGAGTGACCCTGAATTGACAAGGAGGTACCCCCCTTAGAAAGGTCCCTCAGTGTTCCCTGCATCAAAGCAAATCCAAGACAATGCATATCTCAATCTGCAGCATGTGTTAATAGAGATATTGATGCTCAAAACATCATCCAATACATGGAAATGTTGGTCTGTATTTTGCTAATAGATCCCACCCATCAAGACAAGGATCATGAGAAGGTAAGAAAACAATCCGTACAGTAAGAAACCAGCAAATTTTATATAAACCTGACACTACGCAACACGATGCAAAGGCCGTGAATAGAGTTCCAAAACAGAAATGATGCAGCTAGAAATAGTGGCCATTATCGGCAAAATATCGAAAATAATGGTTGTTCAATTTTAATTAAAACAAAGTCATTTTAGAACAGATATAATATGTTTTCTGAATGCTTTCCCTAATTTTGTCCCTGCTTTTGATTTTTCTGTTTTTTCAGATATTTCCCCATTTTCCCCTCTTTTCTGCATTATATTCTGTTTAGCTCCATTTTTTCTTTTTTATTTGACACCAATTTTCTCATCTAAATGCCATTACTTTTATGAAACAGTTATGACCAGGGTCCCAGTATGGATGCATATATTGGTTTTCTGAGTTTTGAGGAAAAGTATGCTAGTCCAATGACCAAAAGGAGACCCATAGCCCATTGGGCATATCATTTACCATAATAAACAGTGAGTGACTCCCACCAGTGGGGTCATCAAGAGCACACCAAATGGGTAGAGAATTAGAACTAACCCTAAACAGAAAATTTCTAAATCACATAGCAAAAAAAAAAGATGAAAAAGATGTACCTCAATCAGGAAATGGGCTTTGACTTAAAGGCTGACAATTGCAAAACTATGTCGCAATTTTAATGTCTACCTACGGACTACCCAAAAAATATAAATAATATATCAATAACCCACAAAAAAGCAAGTCAGCAACAGTCTTCAGGCTCACTTCAGCAAACCCAAAAAGGCCCAAAACATAATAAGCTCAAACTTATTGCACAGGATTTTTAAAGAGTTTTTTTCTACAGGTGTTTAACAGTGTGCCCCTCATTGCAATAGACCATAAGACACTGGTCGAAAAAAGGAAGCTATAAATAAATCTCAACTAAATGTCAAATGAATAGAGAGAAATCCAAGTTACAGGTCAACACTTCCACTCGGATCTTCGGTGATGCATACATCACATGGCATCCCTGACAAACAAGTCATGAAAAACATGTAGCGTTTTTTATTGTATGCCATCCTGCCGACTTAATTATGACTAGAAAATAGCTTTGCAATTATTTTTTAATATAAATCCTGGTGTTGGTATGTCCAAGTGTGCAACTTCAACCATAGACAAGATGTTAATGAATAATTTAGTGATAAGGAGACAAACATCAAAAGTGTTCATAAGATCTAATGATGAAATACAACATGCAATAACCAAAGATGAAATTCGTGGTTTTCAAACGGTAAAGCTAAGGGCTTGACACAAAAAGGAAAGTAAAAGATGAAAGAAATTCAATTGTTTAGAACATCAATACACAGCACCAGAGATCCGATTGTCTACCATTCTTACCTTATTTGCCCACATAAGCCCACATGCATTGCATAGGGACCTGGGCCCAGCTGGCCCACGACGCATCATTGGAGTGGATTTTTCGCTAGTGCCACAATGGCGACATCTGGAAATAATATTAATTGACAAAAAGAGTTAACTAGAATTGTACGGAAAGCTACTTGAATAAAAAAAGACTATTCAAAATAAAATTAGAAACCAAATAACGACAATGACAACAAGGTCACAACAAAGACTTAAAGACATTAATTGTAGGGAGGCATACGCTCACAACCTCATGGTATCAGAACACAAAATGGTTGCAAAAATATAGGAATCATATACAGCTAGCTCTGTATGTTCAACAAACTGAAAACGCATTCATTGTTCAAAAGTATCCCCATGCGAGCAACATATATATTGGTCGCATTTACAACACTTGGGGGCCCATATGGGTGCACAAACTTTTAGCATTAACACCTTTGTTCCTTCCACCCATTTAGGAGTGATAGATGTCGCAGACTGGTCCACCACTATTTACGAGGAAGCCTATCTCTTGTAGTCCCACTTATCTACAAAACAGCATCAGAACGCCCTTAGCCCCACTATTTGGACGAGGCAATAGTCATATGAAAGAAATAGCCCTGCTTAGCTTTATGGGCAATCTATGTACAAAAGGAACTTGACAGTTACTTGAAAGAAATTTCCCGACAGATTAAAAATTTTCATAAATCGAAGTATATATCTAATAAAATAATTATAGCCATATGAATGCAATGGCATTATATTCAAGTACCAAATAGCATATATCAATCCTTTGTTCCATATATCCATCTTACCATAAATGTCCACAACTAACTGTTGGAACTCACCTGCTGAAACTCTTGGCATTTTAAAAAGCTACAAAAACTTCTACTCTTGATAGAACTGACAGAGATGCCTTTCTCAGTATCAGATAATTCCTCTACTCACAAATGTGAGACCCTGCAGAGCTTCCATGGCTAGAGGTCTCTGGGTCATGATCCTAAACTGAACCCAAAGAACGAGTATGAATGAGCACTTTGTACTTCCATGAAGGGTTCATCCGAATCTTAATCTAGGTCAAAGGTCTTCTTTAAGATGTGTTTCACACCAGCTGGAGGATGGTAATCAGCACCCATTCAGAAACTGTCTTTCCCTAGTACCCAACCTAAGGTAGCTTATTGTTTGACTAGAGTTATGCAAACACCAGCTAAAAATTACACTCTTAACTGGCATAATATGCAAGAGAAGCCCTAACACACAATGGGGTACCACCTGGTATTGAACACAGGAGAGTAGTACTAAAAGGATACATGGGTGCTATTACAATACATGTCAGCTCCCAAAATTGATCACTACTTCATTTTCCTTGGGCGCATTGGCCTAAGACTTAGGCCCATGTCAATATGCAGAAACAACCACAATACACTCCAAACCGTCCCAGTGCATGAGATATTCACACTTACTTCCAAATCAGCAAGCCTGATGGCCCCACTAGCTCTTAAATGGCCCTCAAGATTCAACACCCCCATTAGGGTTGTATGAAGTATTGTTTGCTCCACCTCAAAACAATAGTGGATGCATGCCTCATCTTTTCACAGACATGCATCATCTTCCCCCCAGTCCTAGGTGCCCCCCCAGAGGATGCTACTAAGAAACATGCCTAGGGTCTTTCCTGCATTCGACACATGAAAGACATTTTGAAAAGTCAAAAAATGCACACAACACACCTGATTTATGTTGCGCGACATTTCCACTTTGACACATGTTTCAAGAAAATTAAAAGCTCACACGTCCTTTATATTCAAAGTAACATGTCTTTGAAACAGGGTAATTAATTTTTTTTTTCTTTTTTGTTTATTGCCACAATATCCCTTTTTCAACTCTTAATAAAGCATGCTTAATATTTTTACTCTTCCATGGCTTTAAAGAAATTTTAAAATTTCCTTTTCCTACCATGTATCTTAATAGAAGCTCAATTTATAACAATCTTTACCAACCACCCATAGAGAACATTGTCCTTTCCCAGCAATTTTAAGTATTTTCATTTTTTAATAATAATATCAGGCCACCGATATTATTCTCTCAGTTTTCCCTTTTATCTCTTACCCACTACTTTATAAAGGGAACTTAAGGACTCTCATATAGAACCTTACCAAAATTATTTCCGGATAACGAAATGGACATGTCATGTCCAACTTGTCCTTTTTAGGGTTCATGATGCAGTGGGTTTTAAAAAATTCTAAATTTTTATTTTATATTTTCTAGATTTTAGATCTAGAGTTATTTGGGTTTTGAATTTTCTTTAGGGTTATTTTTTCCTTTTTGGTTGTGGAGATTTGAGGGGTAAATTTTCATGATGCAGTGGGTTTTAAAAAATTCTAAATTTTTATTTTATATTTTCTAGATTTTAGATCAAGAGTTATTTGGGTTTTGAATTTTCTTCAGGATTATTTTTATCTTTTTGGTTGTGGAGATTTGAGGGGTAAAATTGAAAGTTTATTTTACATTACAGATAAATGTTTAGGACATGTTAAAAAGAGGATATGGAGGAAGTACACAAGGAAGTGCATGAGGAAGGTGGGGGCTTCCTAAAATCAAGGGATTCATGTGAATCTAAAGAGGGACGTTAGCGAGAAATGTACGTGAGGTTAAGAGGGAGATGGAGAGAGAAAACCTTGGGGGGAGAGAAATTTTTTTGTGGGATATTTTATTTTGTTTTATATATTATTTCATTTAGTTTGTATTTAAAGGGAATGAGGTCCTTTCTTGAAACTAGGGTTATTTTGAGAAAAAAAATCGGTTTTTTGATCTTGTTTAGTGATCTTTGGGGTGGGCTACCTTGCAGACCCTGAGAGAGGGTATATTCACTCATCTATTTTATTTAATTATTGCTTTCCCATCTTTCCACCATCTTCCCGCCGTCTTCCCTACATCAGTTGGTATTAAATTATGCCATTATGGAGTATGTGGATTGATTGGATCAAAAATATGAGAGACTCAAAGAGACTTGTTAGAAGGCCTTAGTAAAATTATGCAACAAGTGCTACAAGATCGACTCAGTAGATTGCAACCGGAAAAAGAAGAATATGAAGAGGTAAATCTCTGTGCCAAAGATAACAACCCAAAAGTGCTATAAATTTTAACCAATTATGAAAAAGAAGATACACTAGTTGTAATACATGAAACACCATCCTTTTACTTCAAAGTTGAAATCAAGATTAAATTTGATATTCTAGAGTTTGGTATTCTAAAGATACACTACAAATAGCACACCAAGTGTTTGACTAATTGGTTCACTAAAGACAACAAAGAACAAAGGAGAATGGTGGGACTTCATAACTAACTTTTGAGTAGGCCTCTAAAAGATGTAAATTCAACAAACTCGAGGTCGTGCTTCTTCTAACCCTGGGACAATGATACAGTGGGGTTTTAAATTTTTTAACTTTTTATATTTTCTAGATATTAGATTGGGTGTTATTTGGATTTTTAGCTTTATTTAGGTTATTCTTTTTATTTTTGGTTGCAAATATTTGAGGGATAGTATTGGAAGTTTACTTTTTTTTAAGATGAGGATAGGCTAAAGAGGATATGGGGGAAAGAAGATAAGGATGGAGATTTCCTAACAATTAGGAAGAGAAGAGATTTGCATGAGATTTTGCGAGAGTCAAGTGAGATTAAGAGAGGAGAGAAAGAGAAAATGTGGGAGAGATGAGAGAATTTTTTGTGAATTTGTTTTATTTATTTTATTATTATTATTTTTCATTTGTATTTAAAGGGAATGAGGTCCCTTTTTGAAACTAGGGTTATTCTGAGAAGAAAGAAATTAGTTTTTTTATCTTGTGAAGAGATCTTTAGGATAGACTCCCTTGCATAGATGGCATATTCTCTCATCCCCCTTTTTTATTTTTTATTTAATTATTTCATTCCTTCCTTTTTTTGAGAATTTTAACATTTATTTATTTATTTTTCTTGGTAATTCAGTGGGGAAGACAAGCCCCTTCCCGTTTTCCATCATTTCATTTTCCCACCATCTTCTTTGATTTTATTTTTTTTATTTAATTATTTCACTCCCATCTTTCACCATCTTCCCCGCATCAAGTAAGATGGTGGAAAGAAGGGAATGGAATAATTAAACCAAAAAACAAAAAAATAAATAAAGGGCATGACAAAAAAAATTTGTGGGTTTTTTTTTGTTCTTTTAGTTTGCATTTAAAAGGAAGGAGTCCCTTTTTGGAGAACTTGGTTATTTGGAATAGAAAGGAATCTCTTTGATCTTGTAAAGAGATTTTTGGGGTGAACGGTTACAGCCCTGAGAGGAGGTATATTCTCTCAACACTTTATTATTATTTCTGTTTTATTTATTTCTTCCCCATCCTTCCTCCATCATCCTGCATCGGATAATATTAGAGCCTACAAGTTATGGAGCATTGGATTGATTCCATCACATATTTGAGCGATTGGATCAAAAATTTGAGATACTCAAAGAAGATCTAAGCAAAGTAATGTAACAAGTGTTGCAAAATCGATTCAATAGACTTTATCAAAAGAACGAAAAACATGAAAAGGTGAATATCAGTGCAAAAGAAACACCTCAAAAGTGCTACAAATTTCAACAATCAATTATGAAGAAGATAAGCTAGTTGCAATAAATGAAATACCATCCTTTAACCTCAAATGAGAAATCAAGATTAAATTTGGTATTCTAGAGTCCAGTATTCCAGAGTTCCACTACAAACAACACATCAAATGTTTGATTAATTGGTTCGTTAAAGAAGATAAAGTACCAAGGAGAATGGTGGGACTTCATCTAAAGTTAGAAGATAAAGTACCAAGGAGAATGGTGGGACTTCATCACCAACTTTAGAGAAGACCACTAAAATATATGAAATTAACAAGCTCGAAGTCGAGCCTCTTCCAACCTCACAAAAATGATGCAATGGGTCATTTGGTAATTTTTTTATTTTTTGTATAAGAAGGGTAAGGACCATAAACTTTCCCTTAACCCGTCTCAAGCCTGGATAAAGGATGTGGGTTCTGTTAGGTAGGTAACCAATATAAAACATTGCCAAAACTTTCTTTCTTTATTTTTATATTTTCTGGATTTTAGATCTGGATATTTGAGTTTTTAGTTTCTCTACGGTTATTTTTATCTTTTTGGTTGTAGAAATTTTAAGGGTAAAATTGGATGTTTATTTTATTTTAAAGATAAATTTTTAGCATATGTCATAAAGAGGATATATGAGAAGTACATAAAGTGGTGCATGAGGAAGGTGGGGCTTCCTAAAATTATGGGATTCATGTGAATCTATAGAGGGAAGTTAGAAAGAAATGTATGTGAGGGTGAGAGGGAGATAAGAGAAAGAAAATTGAGGAAGAGAGTTGTTTTTGGGTTTTATTGTTCTATTTTTTAATTAATTCCTTTAATTTGTATTTAAAGGGAAGATGTCCCTTTTTGGAGAACTTGGTTATTTTAAATAGAAAAGAAATTGTTTCTTTGATCTTACGAAGAGATCTTCGGGGTGAACTCCCTTGCAAACCCTAAGAGAGGGTATATTCTCTCAGCACTTCACCACTATTTCTATTTTATTTATTTTTCCCCAACTTCACCAGTATTTCTATTTTATTTATTTTTCCCCCATCCTTCGTCCATCTTCCCTGCATCAGTTGACATCTTGAACATTTCTATCTCATAAATGGAAACTAGTAACATATTTATTATGTGAAACACACACACACATGTCCACACACATCTAGAGGAAAGAAAGGGAAAATGACAAAGATTGCATATCAATGGGTGAGGCTATCACACGTAAAAGAAACACCATGTTACATGAGGATAAAGAATATGGCACCCACATAGCCGGTTCATTAGTCTCTGCAGCCCAGGTTGGATTTGATTCCCAAGTTAGTTCAGGTGGTGGCGCATCTTCTGACACATTTTTTGAAGATGTGAATTGTCCCTTGTTCCGCTGCATCCTACACAAGCAAGAAAGAAGGATGAACATATTTCACTAAAGCAAGAACTCCAACCCTATAAGAAGGGTCAATAGAAGGCAATCAATAGTTTTTCAAGTTCTATGGAAGGGAACCAAATAGATCTGTAGGGCTAAAAGCAAAGGAAGGGAATGAAAGGCCAACAGAAAACATGTAGTTGCCGAAACACATTCCAACTGCAAATTTTATGCAAAATGATACAAAAATATGGATAACATCATGCATCTAATGTATCATATGAACAATATCAAAAAGATTGTTTGGTAAAGCTTTTCTTACAACTGCGTCAGTTGAATAGCAATTGAAATTAATTTTTATTGTGTTTAAAGTACTGGTTATGCAGTTGGAACCTTGCAAGCAGAATTTTCATTTTTTGCTTTTCTCTTTTGCTTTGCAGTGTGGGAAGATAATTGTTAGATACTATGCATTTATGGGTCAAGGGTGTCCGGCATTCTGGATGCATTTAGCCAAGGTAGTGAACTAGTATTTCACTGTCACATTAATTTACCAGGATAACTCACCCAAGCATATGGACAGTACTTTACCCGTAGCCAGGATTTTAGTCCCATAGAGGATCTGCATGCCCTGCTATGCATCCCAGAAGTGGTTTAGGTAACAAAGTGTCCATTATTCCCAACTTACCAACAAATAGAGTTCAGGCATTATAACGATGACTGTCTACCACTTTTATCAGACACACTCTGTCTTGTTTCTAGCGTGCATTTCTTTTACTTCAATGAAATTTCCTTTCTAGCGAAACAAAAAAAGGAGTCATGGAGGGACCTATCTTGATGTGTTACCGAGGTTGGGTTATGAAGATACTACTTTGGCAGCAGTATTTACAGTTTTGGAAGGCTTTGCATTCAGCAATGGAATACAGGGAATAGTTACTCAGGAACTGGCTAGGGCTATAGATTCCAAAAATTAGCATTTCCAGAAAAGCCCATATCATCTTTTTGTACGAAGTAGAAACAATATCTCGAGAGAAAAACTTGTTATCTAACTTAAATATTGTGAACATAAATCATATACCAAGGGAAGTCAATATAGTGTTATATTGTGTGCGATAAACTTAAACTGGGATATACTTGGAAGTTGGGAGTCTAGAAGTGCGTTTCTTTGCAATGCTACTTCGGTTCGGCTCAAGCAGGTCTTGAAGTACGAGAAAAAAAAGGCCAAGGCATCAAAATGGGTATATTGCATTGAGTGAAAGGCAGTGAGCATTTAGAAAAAGAGAATATGCACATAATAAGAAAAGTGGAGATTTCCATCCGGTGTGAGCTCAGGTAGAAACTCAAAATTTGGTTATCTAAAGCATCTTTGAAGAGAAGAATAGTAGGGCAGTGGCCAGGATCAACATCAAGAAACATGATTTCTTCCAAGCTAATCCAGAGACCCATGTTTCATAAGAAATTGACTTAGACCGGACTCAAATGGTAACAACACTGCATAATCAAATAAAGATTGAAAAAACAATAAACAGAAGAAAAGACTTTACATGAGCAAATCCTTGAACTTGACCCACAACAATGTTCCTATTCAAAAAAACAGAGGCGCATCAGGAACAACACTAGAAATGTAACATTATCTGTAGCACTTCTTGGGTCACATTAAATCCACAAATTGCATTAAGAACCAAACAAATCCATTTCCTGAAATAACATATGATTTAAAGCTCATCATAAGACAAATATACAACCAAAAATGAAAGTAAGCCTGAACTGAAGTAGATGCCTGGTCTTCTGATTAACATGTCCATTATGTTCATTCTAGCATAGAAAATTCATGTCCTTTGTAAGGAAGACAAAAAAGAAGTGATGCCAGATTCTTCAATTTCAGTTGCTCATCACTTATTGTGGGTATCAAGCAGCAGCAATTTGAAAAGTAGAGGTGATTAGTCTAGTTGAAGAAACGTCACATATGAACAGTAAAAAGTTTAATATTAAAAGCACAGGTAAAATAATAATTTTATGGATTCAGAAATCACAAAAAAGAACATAGATATGGATGAAGAAATAACTCCGTGACCTAGCATATGGACTCAAGTCTGAGAAATAAGTGCTAAAGAAAAAATATACAAGCAAAATCTCTTGGTTGTACCTTTCCGCAACCTCCTTGCGTACAGAGTACCGAATTTTCTTATCATAATTCCTCTCTTTTCGCTTCTCACGGAACCTACTCAAGGATTGCATTCTGTGGGACTGATTCATGCGCTGGGTAACAGGATCAGTGAATCCCTGAACAATAGTCATTTAACATGGGCCCAAGAAGAAAAACAAGAATTGTGACATGTGCAAACCAAAAAAAGCTTACAAAGTAATGGTACCTTTGAAAGCTGATGTCCATATAATGGAACTGCAGGCAGGCCAGAAGGCGCTTCACGTCCCCCTAATAGCAAAAGTACTGCTTGCACCTGCAGAATACAGAATCTCAACATGAATTACACCATAACAAACTGCTTCTAGTACCTTAGGAGTCATTCACAACAGGATTATAAATTGAAAAGCAATAGAAAAATAAGATGATGGTAAGGACAAAAAATGCTTACCAAGAAACAATTTGGTAAGGACAGAAATCGTAAAATTAGTAACCAATAAAAAAAATTTATGAAAATAGTAAGAACTACGACAAACAACCATGGCTACAAGAGCAGGACATTCGAGAAAGAGAGGGAGAGTAGCAGGGAGAGCTAGAGAGAGTGGTAGAGAGAGTTGGGAGAGAAATGAAAGGCAGGAGAGCAAGCAGAGAAACCCATAACAACTAATCAGTTTTGTGCAGGCTCTCGTTGATGCCGGCTCAGGCCAGGGCTCCAGCCTGGGTTGTCCCTTGCCCGGGAAACCCCCCTTTGATCCCTGGCCCCTCCCACCCTTTACACCAAGGCTCTACACAACTGCCTCTTGATCCCCATCAGAATCCAGCAGCCTCATCGCTTCAGCACGATATTCCACACCCTGATATTTGCAGCCCTACGCCTGCTCCAGTTTCATGTCGCAACCATCCCCCTCGCCTCAGTTTAAATCCATGCAAGCCCACCAACCCTCTTTTCCTTCGCATCAGCAGTCCACAGATTTCGGCCCTATCACTGTCCTTCCAAAACAGCTTGGAGGGTCGCTTCTTGCCCCGTCAAGATGACTTCAAAAGCATTGAGAAGTGGGGACAAAACCTCTGGAAAGAGCCTAATCTTAGTTGCCGTATTCTCTGCAATGGTGAAATTCTTTTCTCGTTCCCTTCCAAGGCCAATGCAGACAGAGCCTTGCTGTGGAAGAACCCCAGTTTCAGAGGTGGTTCCCTAAAGCTCTCTTGCTGGACCATGAACTTTGGAGCAGCTCGATCCCTTCGAGTGTGGCTGCGACTATCTAGCATTCCCCTTCAGGCTCGGCATCGATCGACCTTCAAGATTATTGGTGACGCATGCGAGGTGTTCATATCTACTCACTGAAAATCTCTCGAGGTTTTACCCCTGGGGACTATTCAAATTCTCATTGACACTGTCGACCCTCTTTGATTTCCTAATTTCCTATGGCTTGAGATCGAAGGCTTGTTCTTTCGTGGCTCCATTACATGGTACGCAGCCTCACCTGCTGCCATCCGCCATGTCCAGGACCTCCATCCTGGATCACATCACAGTGCTAAATGCTAATCCAGAAGGCTGGACCACCGTGCGTCGAAAACGATGGCAACCACCAAAGAACAATTGTAAATCCTTCAATCATTGGGCGTCGCATGCCCCATCTGGTCCAGCTACCGCGAGGCCTCGCCCACAGCACCACCCTCACGGAACCCATCCCAAGGAAATAAGGGGTCAACACGCCACTTGCTGCTCTGCTTCAGCCACCCGGCAGCACACCACCTGCTGCCCCACCTAGCAACTTTCCTAGTACTACCCTGAAGTCTGCCGCCCTTGAGCAGACAACTGTCGTTCACATGCAGCCTGTTGCTCACCTAACCCCTTATTCTAAAGCCCCAAGCTGCTCAGCTGCCTTCTCACATGCCTTCTTCTCTTATCCCCTCCACTTCATTTGTTCCCGCCCCACCACGTTTTAATACTCATCACCACCCATCTCCACCATCTCTGCTAGATGACACATCCACCTCTCATACCTACCTTGACCCCCCTTAATCCTCGTAGCCCACTCTCCACATGGGACCTCCCCTCTCTGTCCCCAAGGAACCCTCTCCAATCCTTGTACCGACTGCTCCGGCCCTTTTGCCGTCTCTCTCTTCGTCTCGACCCCACCTCTCTGGACCTGGGCCTTTTCAAACTTTGGTAGTGGACCACACAATTGACCTTTCGTTGGTCACTTACAGCTATTTTATAAGGTGTAGCCTTGGTTTCGTTCATTATTTTGACTTCTGATTTATCTTTTGAGGATCCTTTTTATGTATAAACTCTTTTCTGGAGGGTGTATACTCTGAGTAATTTCACCTTCTATTGAGTTAAAGGTTTGATATTGTTTTTCCAAAATATTAATCCTATTTATTTCACAATTATTAACTTTATCAAAACTTGGAATTGATACTCCTTTGTTTATGAGGATTGGTCTTAACCATTCAAAGAAACCTATAGTACATTTTTCTGTTTTTAGAAATGTATTATATCTTCTATGTGTTATATGTATTAGTTTTTTAGAAAATGTTTTTAGATACCAATTTCTTATATCTGTATTTTCATCAGATAGATAATCATTCTTTATATATTCCATATTTACTTTCTTTTGTTTTTGTATGGTTAAAATTTGAAAATCTATATCTTGATAAATGTTTTCACTATTAGAGGTGCTTGGTTTTATTTGTCTATATTCTGGTTTATGTATGCCATTTCTGGTTCTTATTAACCCTTGAATTTCAGGTTCTGAAGAAGAGATTGAAGATACAGACCTTCGAGGAGATATTGTCCTTTTAGAGGGTGTGATACTAATATCATCTCTAATATTTATTTTAGTTTTCCTATTACTAATAAATATTTCTACCTCACCATCTGGGTATTCAATTATCTGTTCCGGGGTTTTATTGATAGGAATTTTATTTTCATGGTTTTCCGTTTGAATAGTCCAATCTTTTGGAAGTTCAATTTGAGACCAATTTATGGTTTTAGGTACTATTGTATTTGATTTATCTAAGTTTGTCTGAAAGAATGTAGTATGTCCTTTAGTGTCTATTGGGACTATATTAGGGCTTAATGTAGTCAATACCTTATAACAAATTCTATAGATTAAGGCTATATTTTGTGATCCCGGGTTCATGTCAAACACTTGAGTTTTTATATTGAGAGTTATTACTTTTAATATATTTGGATCACTTAGAGATATTGAATAATTAGGAAAGAAATTAAAATATATTGGACCATTACATAAACTAGATTCTACAATTCCTAGTAAAGAATCTGAAAATTTATTATGCCTATCACCTCTTAAGCATAATGAGATAGAATTATTTAATCCTAGTCTCGTCAGTGGTTTTATAGCTACTTGGATTAATCCTACATGTAAATATTTATAATTTTTATTTTTAAGGGCTTGTATTACTTTATTTGATAGTAATTGGAAATTTTCTTGTTCACTATGAATAGATAGACTTCGTTCGACTGCTTTTATTGTCCTGTTTTTAATTCAAATGTTCCTTTTTTATAGACATCTGTTATTGGTACCTTAGGGATATTCCAATTTTGTACTTGTTGTCCAATATTTTCTATGATAACTTCTTTATTTTTTACCCTTGGAGTATTCTTCGCTGGTAATAAAGTTTTACTAGATAAAGTTCGAATAAAATTTTCTATTGAAGGTACGGATAATGACTATAGACAACCTCTTACGTCCTTTACGACCTCAGCGGCTCTTTCCTTGCCTTAACGGTCTTTTTGACTGGGCGTCAACTGGTCTTAACTCTCGGACTACCTTTCTAATGGTAAGATTTTATAAGTTCTTTATCTGTTTAAACTTTATATCTATTGAGTAATGGCTCTGATACCAATGATAACCAGGATCTAACTTGGACCTAACTTGACCTAACTTTTGCTATACTTTGCTATATTAGATATTTTAGATAAGCATTAAATAGGCAAAATTATAATTGAAGATTATACTTATTATTCCTAAATAATATAAAATTGTCCCTATAATAATGATTGCAGCATAAATGAAATATCTACGATAATCCAGTTAATATAAACAGTATTACGAATCTTAAAACTGAATATCAATTTAATTTGCATAGAAACAGGATACAAGAATTGCTAACAAACTTACTAACAAACTCTTATTATAAACTTACAGTTTACATATGCAATAACTTATAAACATTCTCCATTCCTGAGGACAGTAACTCGGAAGGGAATCAAAGCTGCAATCACACATTTGTACAGAATGGTTTATAAGATACCATCTGTATGTACAATAACAAGCATGGATAAAGTAGGGTAGAAACAGTTACCAGATACAGAGAAAATATAATCCTCAGAAATAATAATCCAGAAATACCACACCAGGAGAGGAGATAATTACAAGAACTCAGATAGATAAAGTTGAAGAATCTTCCACCTGTGATGTCACTGTACATAAAGACGCACCACCGACATGCAAAGATCCTCCACCGACAATAGTCACATCCGCAGCCGACGCTACTGGACAAAAAGCCTTCTTCATCAAGTCATCAACCAGTCAGCTTTGCCCCGCTTTGCCTCGACCAAAGGAATCTTTAACTTTATAAAAGCAGCTACTTTTATCCAAATGGCGAACAAGGAGAATCCACGAATCCAATCCAATTAATATCAGCTAGAGTTTCAGCCTCTATATAAAGGGAAGCAGAAGGAGAAGAAGCTCAAGCTAGGAGAGCCTTTCCCCAGCTTTTCTCTGAGCTTTCCCCGAAGCTTTCTAAAATACTTCTCTCTCTCTCTCTCTCAGCTCTGTTCTCTGAGTTCTTGTAATTATCTCCTCTCCTGGTGTGGTATTTCTGGATTATTATTTCTGAGGATTATATTTTCTCTGTATCTGGTAACTGTTTCTACCCTACTTTATCCATGCTTGTTATTGTACATACAGATGGTATCTTATAAACCATTCTGTACAAATGTGTGATTGCAGCTTTGATTCCCTTCCGAGTTACTGTCCTCAGGAATGGAGAATGTTTATAAGTTATTGCATATGTAAACAGTAAGTTTATAATAAGAGTTTGTTAGTAAGTTTGTTAGCAATTCTTGTATCCTGTTTCTATGCAAATTAAATTGATATTCAGTTTTAAGATTCGTAATACTGTTTATACTAACTGGATTATCTTAGATATTTCATTATATGCTGCAATCATAATTATAGGGACAATTTTATATTATTTAGGAATAATAAGTATAATCTTCAATTATAATTTTGCCTATTTAATGCTTATCTAAAATATCTAATATAGCAAAATATAGCAAAAGTT